GAAGGACGCATCCTTGTGGCGGAGGGTCATTGAGACCCATCGGATCGTGGTATCGACCCCACAGGTGCTTCTGGATGCCTTACGGCATAGCTACATCCAAATGGGATGCGACATTGGATTAATGATTTTCGACGAAGCGCATCATACTGTGGACAAGGCACCATACAACATGATCATGAAGGAGTTCTACTTTTGTCTCTTGCCGCGAGACACGCCCAATCTGGACCCTCGATGCGCCAGGCCGATGGTTTTGGGCTTGACGGCTAGTCCTATATACGGGGGAGATATTGCGAAAGCCTTCTGGTAAGGGCTAATTGATGTTTCTGTGACTCCCAGCCTGATTGACTGTCCCAGTGAAATAGAAGGGAACCTCGACAGCGTCATTCTCACTCCGCGCCGGAGTCGCGACGAATTGGTGAAACACGTCCATCGGCCTGTTTTCAAGCACGTCAGATATGGCGCATCAGACGATGCTCTGTTTTCGATCAACTTGGCCAGTCTACAGAAAGTTATAGATACCCTCGACATTGAGAAAGATCCGTCTATTATCTCTCTTCGCCGCGACCTCGCCACGGCATCCCCTAATTCGTCTGAGTACTACCGACTTGACCAAAAATTGTCAAAGACCATTCTCAAAGAAAACACGTTCACACACAAGGGTCTTCGCGATTTCGAGCGCACGGCGGGGGATATCCTTTCCGACCTGGGTGCTTGGGCGGCAGACTGGTACGTTTGGACGGTGTTAGAGCAAGCCAAAAGGGCCTGCCAAGGTGATGAAATGATGCCTTCCTGGAAAACACGGGAGAAGAAATATATGCTGGGCCTCCTAAACCAAGTTAATGTTTGCCCGGTGTCTTACTACGAATATGACATCGTCGAGGAGTCGTCTCAAAAAGTGGCGGAACTCGTGAAAGCACTACTGCGAGAGAAACAGGATTTCGAGGAAGACAATGAAGCGTTTAGCGGCCTTGTGTTTGTTACCCGTCGTGATGCGGTTCTAGCGCTCACAGAGATCCTCACACACCATCCTGACACGAAGGAGCTGTTCAAAATTGGAAGCTTGTTGGGGACATCTGACAGTAGCTATCGGCATTCGTTCTTGGACCTAACGCGCAAGCTGCTAAAACAATCGCAGGAGGAGACACTGAGGGATTTCAGGATCGAGGAGAAGAATCTTATCATCTCGACATCGGTTGCCGAGGAAGGCATTGATGTCCAGGCGTGTGGATGTGTTATACGCTGGGACCCGCCACCGAACATGGTGTCCTGGTTGCAAAGTCGAGGACGGGCGCGTCGGAAGCGTAGTACGTTTATTGTCATGTTCCAACGAGGCGGATCAAGTGAGGATGAGGTTCTAAAGTGGGAGAGCACGGAAGCGGAGGTGCTACGCCTATGCAATGAACCAGAGAGAGTTATGACGGCTGAGCCTGATGAGTGGGATGAGTGGGAGGAATTTAGGGTACCTTCAACAGGGTAAGGGTTTATGCATATTTCCGGCATCTGTTGCTCATGTCGCCGTTTGTCAGTGCTCTACTGACTCTGGAGTCAGCTCTTCCTCATCTGGCCCATTTCGTAGCTGTCCATCCGAATGCAAGTTTCAATCCTGATTTTCAGCCTTTATATGATCTGGATCCACCTGATCTACCGTTCGGATGGCATTCGTTTGAGAATCGGTCTACCAGTGTCAGCCTACTTTATTCCGGACCTTGGGGTTCGACGGTAACATTGCCTAGATTCCTGAGCTCCGATCTCAGGGTACACTCAACGAATAAAATTCATCCCACCAAACTGTCCGCACATCGGCATGCGGCTTTCAAGGCATACAAAGCGTTGTATGACAACGAATTACTGGATGACCATCTCTTGCCGCTCTTCCTCCGAGACGATGAGATCAAGAAGCTAGAAAGCGAGGTGGAGAAACGTGTTAGTGTGGTCAGCGTGTCACCGCAGATGAACCCATGGGTACCGGCGGATGATTGTAGCGCTGTTTGGTATTGCTCCGAATTGACACTGGGAGAGCTTCCCCCTTTGCGTATGTTCACGCGTACACAGTGCCCGCCGTCATGGTTCGAAGACGACGGTCCTCCACCACTCTTTGCTCCTCGTCATGGTCTCATCAAGGTCGCTCTCCGTGGTGCTGGGCAAGTTGCCCTCGATGACGAAGACATCGCTCGAGCGCGCGAATACACTCGGCGAATATTCTGGAGCATACATGGTCAACGGATGACTTGGGATGACCTAGACTTTTCATATCTTTTCCTTCCTGCTCCGGGGACGGAAGACGATGAATGGGAGGATCGCCGGACATGGCTGAAAGAGGAAAATGAGCGCGAAGGGCGTTCTAACAAATACGCGTTTGATGCGAACGCACAGGATTTTGGGGAGGC